CAATATCTAGCATACAGATTTCAGACTAAAAAGGATTTGAAACTAGCACCTACAGCCCTTGGGGGTAGGGCTGGCTCAAAATTTTCAAAGTATCAAACTGTCAATTCAAGGTTATAATTCCAATCAAGTTATTAACATGTAATATTCAAAGAATCATTTGTCATTATAAACCATAATAAATCCCCCCCTCCTTCCCCAGGGGGTGAACGTGAGACAATAGGGTCATAAACCTTAAGACCCTTCCATCTATGAAGAGTATTTGATTCTACCATATCTGGGTCTTGAGAAGAAGATTTTTGAAATTTCAGTCAATTCAACCCTTTTTGGCCCCACCCATCAGCCCCTGGGGGTCAGTCAGGGCTCATAGGTGCATACTATCAAACTGCTACCTAATACTGATAATGCTAACCCAAATTGAATTACTTCCAATGGAAATTAAACAAATGTTGGTCCAAAATGTGATTTCCCTATATAAACTATAGTAAAGTTTACCCCCTCCCCAGGGGGAAACGTGAGACCCCAGGGTCATGAAATATTCAATTTTGGTAAAGCACCTTAAGACCCTTCCATCTATGAAGAGTATTTGATTCTGCCATATCTGGGTCTTGAGAAGAAGATTTTTGAAATTTTAGTCAATTTGACCCTTTTTGGCCCCGCCCCTCAGGCCCCTGGGGGCTTAGGACTAAACCGGCAACTATTTTTGTTGACCTTTGTCCATCGAAGGTCCATGCAAAATTTCATTGAAATTGGTTCAGAGGTTTTGGAGAAGATTTTGAAATTTTAGTCAATTTGACCCTTTTTGGCCCCGCCCCTCAGGCCCCTGGGGGCTTAGGGCTAAACCGGCAACTATTTTTGACCTTTGTCCATGGAAGGTCCCTGCAAAATTTTATTGAAATTGGTTCAGGGGTTTTGAAGAAGTCGAAAATGTAAATTGTTTACGGACGCACGACGGACGACGACGGACAAAAAAGGCGATCGCAATAGGTCACTTGAGACTTTGTCTCACTCAGGTGACCTAAAAACTTGATAGGTGAAGAAAAAACTATTATTTATTGTTCATTTGCAAACACATGTGATGATGTATGATCTTCACTGTTGCAACTAGGTATTACAGCAACAGCTTATACAGGTGGCACTCGAAAAACAGAGGAAAAAAGGGAAATTTTGAATAACATGTGTAAAGGAGATATTCATGTTCTGGTTGTTTATATCTTGGATAAGGATGGTTATTCACTTGGGTTTGTTTGTTTATGTTTAACGGCCCATCGACGGCTATGGTCATTTAGGGCCATGGTGATTTATTTATTTATCTTATTTTTTTTTAAAAACATGTGAGTAGCGAAGATTAAATCAGATAAAATGGTTAATTTTAAAAGCATTCGCATTGCATGTGTAGATAATAAAAAATAAACAATAGGCCCAATGGGCCTGCATCGCTTTTCATAAGAAACTATTAAAATTCATTCATTTGAACTAACTTGGTAGTCATTCAAGACATCTTATCCCAGTGACCTTTCAAGTTGGTCAAGCTCATTCATTTGAACAAACTTGGTAACCCTTCATCCTAGCATGCTACTGGCCCAATATCAGTAATCTGGGCCTTTTGGTTATTGAGAAGTTGTTTTAAGATTTTAAGACATTTGACCAAGGTGACCTTGAAAATGGGTCAAGGTCATTCATTTGAACAAACGTTATAGTGCTTCATCCCAGCATGCTACAGGCCCAATATCAGTACCCTGGGCCTTTTGGTTATTGAGAAGAAGTTGTTTGAAGATTTTAAGACATCTTACCCCAGTGACCTGCAAAGTTGGTCAAGGTCATTCATTTGAACAAACTTGGTAGCCCTTGATCCCAGCATCCTACTGGTCAAATATCATCATTCTAGGCCTTTTGGTTAATGAAAAGAAGTTGTTTAAAGTAAAAAGTTGACGCCGGACGGACTGACGCCGCACCATGCCAGCATCAGCTCACTTGCCCTTCATTTTAAAAGCATTCGCATTGTATGTATAGATAATAAAAAATAAAAAGGGGGTTAAAATAATAAAAGAGATAACCAATAGATGATATGGAATATGTGATATATATATATATATAACGTCAAAAAGGGTAAGGTGGGTTAAAAGTCATCAGAGTCTATCAAATAGACAATAGTTAAATAATGCCTTCAAGTCCACGGAACTGAAAAGAGTTCTCATATCCAAAGACTCGAAAGCAGTTATCACGAATGTGTTTAAAATCGGAACATTCTATTAAAAAGTGTTCAACTGTAAATGGAGTGTCACATGCGTGGCATGAAGGTAGATCTTCTCGTTTTAAAAGGTATGAATGAGTAGGATATGTGTGCCCAGTACAGAGCCGAGCGAGGACAACTTCCACTCTACGATCTTTCCGACTGGGAATAGATGTTTTAAAATTAGGTTGTACTTTTAAAAGTTTGTTGGTGGTCTCGAGAGACCAGCGTTGCTGCCATTCATTTTGAATGGCTGTACGAATAGTAGGTTTGAAATCTGTATATGGTAGTTTGATATGTGTTTGTTGGAGATTTAATGCTTTTTTTGCTTCTGGGAGGGCAGACGGGATGATAAACCAGCTAAATCCTTTATTCTTTTTAAAGAGTTCTCCGATACTTAGAGATTGAATTTCTGGATAGATGCAGGCGATAGAGAGAGAAAAGTTACCGATTTTGTCAATATGTGGCAATAAATATACCTTGCCATGACTGGTGACTGTTTAAGAGCTCATCAAATGGCTAATTTTGTGGAGAAAGGAACTACGACGATTGTTGTAGTGGGTGTGAAGTAAAAGACAAAATACCATTTGTAAATTTAGAAATTGAAAAGCAATTATTTTAAGATGCGTTCAAAGAAATTCAAGGACTTGGTTTGAAATGTGAAACAGAAGGACAAGAGGCCCAGAGGGCCTGTATCGCTCACCTGAATATGTTTAAAATAAGTAAAGATATAGCACTCCATGGTAGGTGCTGTAAGTAAGTATGAAATTTCAGAAAGATCCATCCAGTACTTAAATACCAGGGATGGGGTATAAAAGGGAGACAACTTCAGAAAATGGATGAATATGTAAAACATTGGCTGCCTTCACTTCAGAGAAAGATTTTCTTCAAATTCAGGTTTTTCAAAACAATATTTGATACAGATTTTGTCATGGCTACAGAGTTTTTTTGTGAAGAATCTAATTATGGTTATCATTTTCTTTGCAAAAATTTAATTAGGTAATATTCCTAATGTAAAATATTTTTGTAGTAATTTTGGAGGCTGTCAATCAAATTTGAAATTTGAATTTGACCCACCGGAAGTTTACAACTGTGTTGTTGCCATGGCCCTAGCTACGCATGCTGAGTCAACAAAGTCCCTACCTTATCAACATTTTGGCGGCAATGACCAGAAACCAGATCCCTTAGGCACATACACATGAATGTTAATCCAATTTTCACAGTCATAAACTGATAACAAGACAGATCCACTGCCGAAACACATACGTAGATAGTAATTTATTCAAAAATATGACCCATATATCCAATACCACCAGGATTTGTAAATCATAATATACAAAATAGATCACAGGCATTCTATTCTCTTGCTGATATCACACCGATTCCTCCTTCTTTGTCAGGTTTAGTTCCATAAATGACCCATGTATGGGACACCACCTGGATTAGGATACCACCTCCTCACTAACTGTATTACACAGTTTGGCATAATGTCACGTTTATGCCACACCAGTTTTCGTGTATGTTTATTTTGCTGTAGTGCTTGATTTTTCCTTTGTAAATAGCGAGCATATTTCCAAACCTGTCTGTGTAATAACATTACCCAAAACTTCTTATAAACTTCTTTCCTGCAATGATGGTTTCGGGCATGTTGTTTGTTTTCTGTTTCCCACCACAATTGTCTGTAAGTTTCATCTGTAACGCAAGGCTGACTAAAACAATAATGACACTCAGTTGACAATGGATCTTTTTCAACAATAAATTCCTCATACTCTCCTATTTCAGATAGGCTGCTGCTTGCTTCACATTCCTCTGGATTTTCATCAAAGTTGGTCATTGTTGCTTGACATCGATTCTCAAATTCGTCAGTATCAAACCCTGTATAAACCTTCTCTTCTAAATCCCATCCATAGTGTGAAAATAAGTGGAAAATAGTATCTCGTTGTTCTTGGTTTACCACTAAACTATATTCCCTCTCACTTAACATGTTTTTCCTTCAACTCCTTATCAGTATAATGGGTTGGGGGGATCCTTCCCTCCAAACACCCCCATGCAGGAATCCCAGTGTGACCAGTGGGCATTAGGTCAAGGATTTCCTGTTGCATCAATTTCAACATAGCATGTTGGCCTTTTTCTTGGTGCAGTTCGAGCGTAAACTATAGTTTGGACAGGAAGCAGGGACTACGCATGACAGTAATGTTGCGAATCGAACGCACTTTAGTTTATACACTATAGTTCAAGATGGCGGCCCCCACAAGACGAATACAACACTTAATGCTAATGGAATACTTGATCAGCGATTCTGATGACGAGATTATTTCTCGACACAAATGCTTGATGTCTGCAATGGCCCTACACACCAGGAAAACAAATCGTTCATCTGTGCCAAAAATCAATACCTATATGGGCGTCATAGATGACATGATACTTTTGTTTGTTTGTTTGTTTGATTTTGTTTAACGTCCTATTAACAGCTAAGGTCATTTAAGGACGGCCTCCCCTGTGTGCAAGATGCATGCGTGTAGTGTATGCGTGTGTATTTTGGGAGGCTGCGATATGTTCGTGTTTATCTCCTTGTGATAGCGCGGAACTGATGCCGACTTTATAGTGCTACCTCACTGAAACATACTGCCGAAGACACCCAGCAGGACGCCTCACCCGGTCACATTATACTGACAACGGGCGAACCAGTCGTCCCACTCCTAATTTGCTGAGCGTTAAGCAGGAGTAGAAACTACCATTGTTAAAGACTTTGGTATGTCTCGGCCAGGGGACAGAACCCAAAGCCTTCCTGACATGATACTACCCGAAAACGTCGATGACTTCAAAACACATTACAGATTAAGCAGGAATATGTTTGACTGCCTTCTGGAGCGTGTCAGAGACGATTTAATTAAAGACTTCCATGGTGGCCGCAACCCAATTAATCCTGATAAGCAGCTTCTCGTTTTCTTAAATTATATAGGCAACCAACAAAGTATGCGAGAATGCGCCCACATATTTGGATTGTCGAAATCAACTGTTCATAGTGTTGTTGCATCTGTAGCTGACGCCATTGTAAAGTTACATTCTCAGGTATGTGGCTAAAAAATCAGATTTAATTTCATTAGAACATGCTTTCATCTTATTTATGAAATTGTTATGTTGGTCACTTTAGTACTTAGTCCATTTTTTAAAAGTGTAACAGACACTGTATTCCCGTTATTGGTTTCAACAGGTTATAAGATGGCCAGATGCTGATAGACAGAGAGAAATTGCAAGAGAAGTTGAAGATAGTGTGGGCATATCTGGTGTTGTGGGCTTTATTGATGGAACACACATTCGTTTAGCAAGTGCCCCAGGTGGTGAACAAGACTATTACAACAGAAAAAGTTTCCCTTCGATTCAGCTACAGGTAGGATTATCAAGTTGCCATGTTGAGCCTATCAAGCTAGTGGTCGTACATGGTCAGGCGCCATAACCACAAAGTATAGAAAGAAAGTAACCAAATTATATATGTCAATCTGTACTAACAACACTCTGCTCTATCTTGTATTATATATATATATATCCTTATGGGACCAAGGCAGTCACTATTATTCTATTTAGTGTAGTATCGGTTACAATGTGTTTGATTGCTCCTGAAGTGATCTATGTGTTGTGATATATTGTCGTGTATGTAATGTTTATAGTATTGTATTGCGCGGTGGCCAAGTGGTTAAGGCGTCTGACATCTGCTACCACTATCCCTCCACCGCTGGGTCGCGGGTTCGAGACCTACGTGGGGCAGTCGCCAGGTACTGGCCGTCGGTCGGTGGTTTTTCTCCGGGAACTCCGGCTTTCCTCCACCAACAAAATCTGGCACGTCCTTAAATGACCTTAGCTGTTAATAGGACGTAAAACAAAACTAAACCAAACTAAACCAAACCAATCAAGATTTGTATAAATAAGTACATAAAAGTACCATGATAATTAGTATATGTATATTTTGAATGTTGCATGGCAGTCAGTATAAAACTTGTCACATGACTTTGGTACATAGCATGCTTGAATTTTTTCCATTCTTTCTGCACAATGTTCCAATAGCTAATTGACAAAGTTATCATTTCCAGGCTGTTGTTGACAACAACATGACGATTACCAATGCTTACTGTGGCTGGCCAGGATGTACCCATGATGCTCGAGTTTTAAGGAACTCTGAACTATTCTCAAAAGCAGAAAATGGTACATTATTTCTTCAAGATCATTTTCTTTTGGCCGACAATGCCTACCCTTTGAGGAATTGGCTCATTTCTCCCTTTAAGAATTATGGCAATTTGTCTCCACAACAAAAGAGGTTTAACAAAAAAGTGTCAAGTGCTCGACAAACAGTGGAACGATCATTTTCTCATTTGAAGGGGCGTTTCCGTCGTTTGAAAGAAGTTACCTTCCACAACCCTACACAAATTACAAAACTTGTTATATCAGCATGTGTATTGCATAATCTCTGTGTTATTCATCGTGATGATTTGGACGAATACATGGACGAAGGAAATGATGACGACCCTGGAAATGATGAAGCTTATGAGCATGGACATCATGGAATTCTTCGTAGAACCAGGCTCCTTCAGCTGGTGTAGGATTGTTAAAGCAAGATTGTTGATGTTTGTTGGTTTTGAAGGACTATCAACCAAGGTCACTTTCCATTGATATTATTAAAAGAATATGACAAAACTTCAGTTTTGCTCTTTTGTTTTAATCTTTTCCAAAAAGCAAACATTTGAACATAATACATAATTTCATAACAAATATAAAATAAAAATAGATACATTCACTATTTGTGAATCTTAATCAAGAGATATTCAAATGTTGGTTGGTTTTGAAGGACAATCAACCAAGGCCACCTTCCATTGATATTATATATTATTAAAAGAATATAACAAAACTTCAGTTTTGCTCTTTTGTTATAATCTTTTCCAAAATGCAAACATTTGAACATAAATTAATATAAAAGTGAGAGCACCATGAAAATTATCTTTGGATGAGAATCACTAACAAAGTAATATAAAAAAGTATTACCAATTAAAAATAACAAGGTCTACAGGGCCAGTATCATCTGGATATTGCATTCATTGGAAAATATTCTCAATAAAGATGCTTTTGCAAATATTTCCAATTATTGAGTATAATGTATTAAGTCTTATACTGTTTCATCCCAGCATATTAATTTTCCTCACAAAGGGTTACCTGGTATTGTGGAAGAATAATTTTATTTACATATTTGACACTAAGTTATGACTGTGAAAACAGGTCAAATTGCTGTATTATTTCGGGAAACTCAATGGGTTAGGGTCTTAAGTCTAGCAGTTATTAAGAAGTCACTTTCAAAAAGGTGGATGAACATGGAAAACACACCATATATCATAAGCTAAATTGGCAATTCATGCCAAGGCAGTAATTATAAAAACTTAACAAGACTACCTGAGGCTTTTTAAAAATAAATAAAATCACAGAACAAAAATTGACAAAACCTGAGTGGTTTCCCAAGTCCTTAGTTCTATAAAGTTAACTGGTAATGACTAACTTGTAACAAAATGATGCCACCGACTGCATCTTTACAGTCACTTTGTGCTTTGTTTATCCATAATATCTAGAAATCTGTCAAAACGCTTCATGCGTTCATTGTGCATCTCACTAATTTGTTGCATGAATTTTGAATGCTGATCCTCCAATGCATTCAACACATCGAAATTACTCGAGGACTTCCTTTTCTCTGCCTTTCTTGCAGGTTTCTTGCTGGTGTTTGATTCTGAAGAAATGTCACTGGTTTCTTTTAAGGTATCAACTGTAAAAGCTGGTTTTGTACTGACTTTGTCACCATACTCATCATCAAATGCTCTCTTGTGAGTGAAGCGTTTAGCTGCTGATCCCGAGGGACTATCTATAATCTCCTTCCACCTTTTTTTAAGGGCGTTATATTTATACATGACTTGTTGACTAGTAGCTGAACAATGCAGTGTTTCGTTAATGATGTTTGCTATTTCTTGCCACAGGGAGAGGTGGTTTCTGGTAGTCTTAAACAGAGTTGATCTCTCGTGCCTTAAGTCAACAAGCAAGCTCTCTTCATTTTCTGTCCAGTTCTTCTGGTGGCTTTGGTCTGCAGAGGCTGAGCTTTTAGATTTACTCTGTTGTGTGCATTGTTCTTGGTCCCTTTTATCTGTACCTGAATTGTCCACAGAGATTTCCTTTGTCATTGTATCTGACTGTGTACTCTCTTCTTGCAAGTCTGTTTGCCGTACTAGAGGGGCATGTGTTGAGTTCTGTTCCTTTATGATACTAAGCACCAAAGCCTCCTTCACTGCAGCTTCTGTTGTCAAAATAATCAAAATAAATCAATGATCTACAAAAACTGTATAACTATTGAATAGTTCTAAACTTTACTCTTTAACTTTTTAGGATAACATAAAGATACATTAATTAGAGGTATTAATCAAGGAAAGAAATTCATCAATAAGTAAAATGAGCACGATGACATGCATTTTGAAAATAAAATGGTGAAGCACTAAATTCTTTAAAGGGACAATCTGATAGCTATTCATCCCATAGGCATGGTATTAACTGCAGTTATCCTTCAATCAACCCAGAAACCCAAACACATACTGCAATCCAACTGGTGTGCTTATTACAGGACATCTGGGTTGGCTCATAGCAGGATAAATATGGTAAGAGAAATCCCAAAAAGATGAAAGTCAACTTTTTAAAATTTACCCTTATGACCTTTAAAGTAGGTGAATTTAAGATATTGATGACTGGACAAATGTCCTAATTTGTTCAATTAAGAGCCATTGAAACAAAATGTGGTAGACAGTCGGTCAGCCCCATCATATTAATCTCCGAGACTATAAATACATACCAATTTGTGGAGACTTCAGAAGTTTGGCCATGCTTTCCGTCACCCTTATCCTGTTTTTTTCTCTGAGGGTCGGTGTGGTTACTTCCAGTGTTATTAGATTTTTGCTACAATGCAGGAAAACATGCATGCCAGAGGTATAATAAACATAACCGAAGGATAAAAAAAGCTTGTCAGATAATTATGGTGTCATATGAACTCTCTGGTGCTAATTGTGTAGGACTTAGAAAGTTAGAATCTAAATTAAACATATGAAGATAGGAAAACTTTTTAAAAAAATGTTATTTTTATTTGATATACAAATGTAATTTGTCAAACTTTAAGGAAATGAGTTATCATGATTTTATGTCTGTTATACCTTGCCATGCTCAGCACAATAGTTGCACAATACAAGAGTGTCCTCCCCAGTTAGTACTGGTTCCAATTCAAAGTCAACACAAACAGGATGAAAACACACATTGCAGTTCTCACATCGAAGTAGGATGCTGGAAAGATAAAATGATTGTTTATTGTACATTTTATTTGCAAAAGAAATGTAATTATGACCATAAGCAATTGCTTGACTTTTTGAACCAATATGAAATATAACCAGTAGAAAGTTAGAAACGCCATCTTTATAATACACATACAATTTTGTAACATGTAAAAGATAATAATAATTGATGGGTAAACACTAAACAAGGTCATGAAAATGTGTTAATATATAGAGGATGACATGTACAATTGACATTTATCATGGTACTGTCGACAAGTCATTGTGTTATTGGTACTATATAATTATCAGCTGTTTAAAACAAAGTTTTAAACATTCAAAGATTTATACACTTATAAGTGAACCAAGATAATCAACGTGTTATTATAATATGTAATTTTACCTGTAATTTGTATCAACAAACACCTGGACTTTCCCCAATTGATTTGAAAGTGATGCAGCACTGGCAGGTTTCTTGTGGCACTCAATGCAGGTCCAAAACACTTCTTGGTGATCCATTTGCTTTCTGAAAAGTTAGGTATGAAATGTAAAGCGACTATATTCCCGCTGTGGTCACTGGCGATATGCACAACGCCAACGACACTTTAATATCCTGTTTACACCTCATTACCTGTTCCTGGTCTTTGAAAGCAGTAACCTGATTCTGGACCCCCTAATCCAGAGCATGTACTTAACTTCTAGTGTCAGGCTACGCATGCATTTTCATGTACACGTGTTCGTTATATTGTAATTCGATTAAAGTGATACCAGGGACGTATGTATACGTTTTATTCGATAATGATTTGTTATTGTTGCAATATTTGCATATATAAGACGAAAACTCGTTGGTTTTTAGCAGAAAACGTACAAAACTTGTTAAAATCTACATTTTGAATACTTACGATTTCAGAAACATACACACTCCGCCATCTTTGAACTAGACCTCTAGTACGGCGCGAAATAGCTGACAAGAGTTCCTAAAAAAACGTCACTTCCGGTCAGGTATGTTGCGTTCGGTTGAACTTTAGTTCGACTGTAGCAGCTAAAGTTCTCGCTCGAACTCGACCCTTGAGATAATCGTCTGCAGGTGTCACCAATGTCAAAAATAAACATCCGGGTCAGGGGTAGAGGTAAACACAGGACTTTTCACACAGCACCCTGCACCAAAAAATAAATGCACAATATAAAAATTTGACACAGAAATTGTTAGATTGATATCTCCACAGTATTTTAACACCAAACTTTTACACAAACACCAAGTTCTAAGAGGCATAGTATAGTTTTTACTAAAGTACCTATATTTCTAAGGGACTTCATTCGTGGGTACTGAACCCGGAAGCATTTAATTGTGACCTCAGTCCTAT